CTTCTTCAGAAACCGAAACGTCAGCTTTCCTGCTCCTCTGATGCTGCTTGGCCTGCTGTGTTCATCCAGTTCTGTAATATGTTTTGAGCAAGGAATGATGAGTCAAGGGACATAGGTCAAAAGGAAGATAAGGTGAAAGGCATAAGTTAGTGGTTTATTTATTGTGAAACTTAACGAAAGCAAAAATGTAAGGAACCCTGTATGTTTAGTTTTGCCAATAAATAAAGCTGCGCAGACCATAGGAGCCAGAAGGTGGAAATGTCAGTAATTGGAAATGTCATGAATTACACAATGAGGCAAATATTATTTAAGCTGTCATGTAGATATAATCTTACTTCATTTACTTGGATAATATGATCCTTGTAGGGGCAGCAGCAGGTAACTTGTCTGAGGTCAGTGGTGATAAATGCTGTAGTTCCGGCTGGTTAGACTGAAGCAATATTCGTGAAAGCTCTTGGGGTGTGGAGGTGGGCTGTCGTGGGGCATAAACCGAGGTTCTCCAACTCTTTGGATTTAGTCAAGTGCTTACAGTCAGGGTGTGTAGGGGCATACAATTACCTCGTCCATATTGAGCAAACAGAAGCGTTGCCTCAGTAATATGGTTTGGAAACTTCCATAAAATGGTCTACTTCTGCATATGTAAAGTATAAAAAAAAAAGCATTGATTGTGTTAAAGATGGATTCATAAGTGGATTTACTTGAAATGCTGTTGTTTTTTATGGTCCAACTGTAGAACCGTTGGAATAAATTCAGCAGAATTTCTGATAATCTAAGCATTTTCTAATTACCATTGTAAACTAATTCTAAATATTTTTAATTTTAAAATTTCGATCAAAATTTAGAGAAAATTGAATAGATTGCTTTAGAGGTATGGTGCTCTTGTGATACTGTAAAACAGCAAATTGTTTGACTCCACAATGAAATAATTTGTATAATACCTGCTCACTTTAATTAATGTGTTACTTTTAGGCTCCTGTCTCACATCCATTCTATCCTTGTCAGCTTGCTATTGGCTTATCCCTATGCTGCTACAATAGTGAAAGAACAGGAGTTGTGTGAACCTCAGGTTGTCTTTCACTCACAGTTTTCCTCCATTAGACTGGAAAAACATCTTGTCTTCAGGAAGGCTCTTAGAGATCCTGAACAAGTGCATGTCAAATCACATTCAACCACAATTTCAACTAAAGCACAAATTTGAGGAAGTAAAACATGTATGAAAAGAAATACAGGTAATGCAACATAACTGTTACTCTTTCCATGTGAAAACAGTGTAAGGATACTAACCTATCCAAGCTCCCAACTCTGGCAACTATGTATAAGAGACTTCCAATAGCAAGGCTGCCCAGCACAAAGAGCTTCTGTCTCAGCAACACCTGCTGTTTGAATAGCATGGCCCTCCATCAATCTTCAGGACTGCTTCTTCAGCCTGTAGTGACCAGAGAGTAAAGGAACCAGTTAGAAATGTGGAAAACCATTAGTTATCATCAATGAGAAGTTAGCTGATCAATTGTTTGTTTGGTAAAAGTTAGATAAACTTAAAATAAAATAAATTAATATGTTATAATTAATCATATATTTTTCACCCAATTCTTTTTAAATAAAAACATTCATGGGGTATGGGTGTGACTGGCTAGGCCAAGATTTATTGTCCAGAGAGCATGTAAGAGTGAACAATATTGCTGTTGGTCAGGAGTCACATGTAGGCCAGACCAAGCAAGAATGGCAGATTTCCTTCCCTAAAGGACATTAATGTGCCATATGGGTTTTTAATGGTAATTGACAGTGGCAATATAGTTGCCATTATGCTATTTTCTTTTAGATTATTATTGAATTCAAATGTCATCATCTGCCGTGGTGGGATATGAACCCACATTCCCAGAACATTAGCCCAGAGTTCTGGATTACTAGTCTAGTAACATCGCCATTACCCTAATACCTCCCTGGAAAAATGATAATACAGTGTAAAAATTCCAGGATGGCCCCTTGAATATTTAACTTTTTGGCACTTAACAAAAATGTATGGCTCCAATTTACAGAACTTAACAAATTCCCTTGAAGATAACTCTTATCAATCACAACATTTGTAGGCCACTTCTGTGTACAGCAGATGGAGAAATCAATTGTTTTTGGCCTTTTGATTTTTTTTTCAGTTGTGACATTGTTATCAGTTTCAAAAGGTTTATTACAGTAGTATCAGATGAACAAGACAATTGGAACAAAATTGATACACGCCTCAACTTCACCATGTTGCTTATTGATTCAGTTCACTTTGCCATAGATGTTGAAATAACTTCTTTGAAATCTATTATTTCTTGCACAGCTCAATATTTGCTAATCCAGTATTTCAAATCCTACTTTATTTTGCCTTCTTGATTTTTGTGAAAACTTGTTCATAAAGCAATATTACCAATAAACACTGTTGGACCTAAAATCCTGTAAGTAGCCTAAATGCTTCAGAATAGCCTCAATGTACCAGAACATACCCTTAATCAGAACCGTTCAGATAAAAAGTCACAGATGTAAAATGGTAACTCTGTTTTCCTCTCCACATTTGTCGCCTGACATGTTAAATAACTTCAGCATTTTGTGTTCTCATTTCAGACTTCCACCTCCAGTTTGCTTCTGTGTTTGAAAGGAACTCTAAGAATGTCAAAAAGGACTTCCATTGAACAACTAACTTGCTTTTCTTACTGAATAAAACCAAAAGAACTGCCGATGCTGTAAATCAGAAACAAAAACAGAAATTGCTGGAAAAGCTCAGCAGGTCTGGCAGCATCTGTGAAGAGAAATCAGAGTTAACATTTTGGGGTCAGTTCTGAGGAAGCGTTACCTGACCTGAAACGTTAACTCTGATTTCTCTTCACGGGTGCTGCCAGACCGGCTGAGCTTTTCCAGCAATATCTGTTTCTGCTTTTCTTATTGTCCTTTTAGTCTGTACTCAATGAGTCCTGTCTATTTATGCAGTGTATAATTTATGTTATCTTTGAAAATTACGTGATATTTACTGTCTTTATATTTGTTTCCCACTTTAGCTTTCTTTAGGTACACTTTGGCTCCGATTTTCCTGGAGTTCCAGAGATGCTGCATCTTATCCAAATGGTGCTGAGAATAAGGATCTGGAAGTGCTGCCCCAATTCTGACATAATTTTTAATAGTAGAGAGATGAATGCTCATAAATGGCAAACAAGGACTGTAGAACTGTTAAGGATGAAATCATTTAAATCACTTGCCTTTTAAATTGTGGAGAAGAAAATTATCCTGCTTTGCCTCTGAGTTGAAGCTTCACAATGGCTATTTTTTGACATAAACCAAAGGGTTATCATTATAGTACTATTACTGCGTGATTTCTTCCATAAAATCCTTACCATAGTGGGGGACTGAAAATTCACAGTTTGGTGATTATTTCAAAGGATTATTCAAGGATTATCAGTCTTTGATGTAGGACCATGAATATAATTTTTTTAAGGAATTAAATACTTGAAGGTCTTTAAATGTATTGAATGATTTATCAATGAGGGTTTGTTATATAGTTAAGGCTATAATAGATATTTAGAAATTTATTTTATTTAATGTCAGAATGGCTCTTAGTTTGGATACTTGATGATAATACTAATTTGGCACAGGAGCTATAATGGGCAAGGGGAATGATTAGGGACATGGTGGGAAGGAGTTGGTACTGTTGGCATAGCGGTTATGAGGAGCCATGGGGATGAGTGGGACCATGGATTCACACTGTTGGTATATGCCTGGTATAGGTGTCCTGGGAAGGATCTACCTCGACTCCATTCTCTCCCCCTTGGTCCAGATACCCCCCATCTACATCTGGGACACGAACCACGCCCTCCACTACTTTGGAAACTTTCATTTCCTTGGCCCCCAGCTTTTCATCTTTACTATGCACATGCAGTCTCTATACACGTCCATACCCCACAAGGATGACCTACAGGCCCTTAAACTTTTCCTCTCCAAACGACCCATCCAGTCCCTCCCCACCAATACTCGACTCCACCTCGCCAAACTAGTCCTCACCCTCAATAAATTTTCCTTCAAATCTTCCCACTTTCTCCAAATCCAGGGGGTTGCCATGTTTGTCAGTTATATTGAACAGTCCCTCTTCAGTACGTACACTATTACTGTTCCCCAACTCTTCTGCCGTTACATTGATGACTGTATCGGTGCTGCATCCTGCACCCAGGCTGAACTGGAGCAGTTCATCAACTTCACTAACAACTTCCACCCTGCCCTCAAGTTCACTTGATTTATCTCAAACACCTCCCTCCCCTCTCTTGACCTCTCCATTTCCATTTCTGGCGACAGTTTACAGGCCGACATTTACAATAAACCCACAGACTCCCATAGTTACCTATACTACACCTCCCTCCACCCTCTATCCTGCAAAAGCTCCATCCCGTTTTCCAAATTCCTCTGTCTCCGTCGCATTGGCTCTGACGAGGAGACATTCCACTCCCAACCCTCCTGGATGCCTGCCTTTTTCAAACAACTCTCTTTTCCCCCCTCTGTCATGCAGACAGCCCTCCACATGCCTCCTCCATTCCCCACTCCACAGCTCTTAACCACTCCCCTCCCAAACATAAAAAAGATAGTGTCTCCCTTGTTCTCACTTTCTACCCCACCAGCCTCCACATCCAACGTATCATCTTCAAATACTTCTGCCAATTCCAATTAGACCCCACCACCAAGAAAATCTTCCACTCCCCACCCCTCCCTGCCTTCCGTAAGGACCGTTCCCTTCGCCACTCCTTAGTTTGCACCACATTCCCCACCAACCTCTCCAATCCACCGGGTACTTTCCACTGTAACCATAAAAGATGCAACACCTGCCCACACACCACTTCCCTCACCTCCACCCAGGGACCTAAACTGCCCTTCTAAGTGAGACAGAGCTTCACCTGCATCTCCTCTAACCTAGTCTACTGCATCCGGTGCTTCCGATGTGGTCTTCTCTGCACCGGTGAGACCAAACGTAGACTAGGTGACTGTTTCACAGAGCATCTTTGTCTGGCCTGTAACGGTCAACCTAACCTCCTGGTCACTGCCCATTTCAACAACACCACTCACCCCCCCAACACAAATCCCCCTCCAACATGTCCGTCCTTGGCCTCCTCCAGTGTCGCAGTGACTCAGAATGCGAATTTGAAGAACAACACCTTATCTTTCGCCTAGGCCCCCGACAGCCTGGAGGACTCAATATTGAGTTCTCCAATTTCAAATAACCTTCCCACCCATACCCTGGCTCCCTTTCCAGCCACACCTCCTATGCTTTCAATCTGGCCTCTGACCCACCCTTCCAGCCACCAAACGGATTCATCCCTCCCATCGACCAACCAGGTCATACCTACAAACAGTGTCCACCTATCACCACCATTCCACGACCCTCCCTCTCTTTTTCTGCAGCTCCCTCTTCCCCCCACATCCAGTCCTGAAGAAGGATAATACCCGAAATTTTGACTTCTCCTTTCCTCCAGGCGCTGCCTGGCTTGCTGTGTTCTCCCAGCCTCCTGTTTGTCTACCAGAGGTGTCCTAGGACGAGTACAGGGTTGGCATGGATTTTGTAGGGGGCAATGGAGAGTGGATGGAGGACCTTTGGTTAGAACAGAGGGAGGGGCAATTGAGGTGACAGGGAGGATATAAGAAACAATTAATGTTAAGTGGGCTTGTGATGGCGTGGATAGGCATGCAAATAGGTATGGGGGAATGAAGAGTGATCCTGTTAGTTGGGACTATTTTTTTTCCCAAGGAAGTTGTGCGACCAAAGAAATTTCTGAATTCTGCTCACCTGCCTCATGAGTGAAAACCTAATAAAGCTTTAAGGCACAGAGCTTCTCATCTTCTGCCACAGTGTTCTATATTAAAATTACTATAATCTCAGAAGACCATAGGGCTGCTATCTCATTGCAGAGAGCTGACTGGTGATGAGTTTAACCTGAAGGTCACCATGCCTCAGGTAAGGACAGAGGTTGAGAAGGCAAGATCTTCATGGTTACCTCAGCAGGTGCAGGGATGGAACCCATGCCACTGGTGTCACTGTGCCTTACAAATCAGCCATTCAGCTAGCCAACCCCACATAGTGTTCTATAATTTGCTGGAAGGAGCTCCAGGATCAATCACTGTCCAACTTTGCTCCTTCTGCCCACGTTAGGGAGGAAAGGGCTCGTAGTGTCTCAGCAGAAACTGGAAATTCACTGTGTGTGCAAACACTATCCATCTGCGCATCACCCATTGTGGCATGAACTGTTAGGTTTAGAAGGTCACTTAGCCACCCACACTATATTTTCAAGCAGTTTCCTGTGCATGTTTTAAACTCTGTATATTATGAAAAAGAACCACTGGAGAAATATGCCAGCCATTTATTAGTTCCTATGCCTTTGTG